GAGACCTGATTGTGTATTGTATGTTCTATATTCTTCCTCATATTATTTGCAGATCGGATTTCTCTATTTGAGATATGTTGCTGATCCAAAAAGTCTGTGGAACTGGTTTGAGCCATATATCAAAGATGACGAGGTATGAAGACTTGTATATGATCTTTGGAACTCTTGGAATATTTTGTTACTTTCAGATTGTTCCGAAGGGTGAATTTTTCCTCATACTTGTGATTTTATGCTTACAATATTAAAGTTGTCAAACCGTGGTCTTTTTTCAAATTGAAGTATGACTTCGCCTTGCATTGGAGTGTTGTAAGTAGAAGAGGTTCCTGTCAGTGTGCAGGACGTCATACATTTTGTATGATATTTTTTGTTTTGTTTTACTATCTAGTTATTGATTCTGCTAAGCCGATCTGTAGCTGTGGAACAAAGATAAATTTGCTTATACGGTTGGAACAAACTTGTCAAGACTTCAGTACTTACATTCATTGTATAGGTTGTGCCCATAGTACTTTTTGATGTCTGCTTTTCCCACCAAGTTATATTTGATTGGGCCTTTGCTCTGATTGTGATTCAGTTATGCATTGCATACTGTTAATTTACTTTACACAATTTGTCTTGTCGTGAATATTTTGTGCTAATCGCATTTCTTGACAGAACGTTATGGACTCTAATTACTAGTTTTCTACATTTGAATTTCTGTTATCTCGAAGTATCCCCTTTTGCAAAATCACTGTTAGAATTAGTATCTAATATCATATTCAATTATGATTCTGTGTGTCAGGAATTTTCTCCTGGATCTAGTGGACGCATGACGACAATGGGTGTATATATCCGTGACTTGCTCCTTGGACAGGTTAGTTACTATTAACTAAATCAAACTATATTTTATGAGGTTGCTTCCTGTTTTAATTTCTTCGGTCTCATGCTTTCCTTTTGCTTGTAGAATCAAATATCTTTGCATGATAGTCAGCAAAGTGTTCCCTGATCTCTTGATATTGAGATTTTTAAAAGTAATGCCATACGATGACAAGGAAAAGAAAAATCATTTGACTTACTTTTGACTAGTTAAACTGAGATTTCTGTCTTCAGAGCTCTCCTTCCAGAATCCAGCTGCATCCCAAGATTGCAAAAGAAGCTATGTTTCTCATCATCTCATAATTTGGAGTAACGGTCCTATGAGGTGCTTTCAGTATCTTTTGGACATAAGACTCACATACCTACAAGTAATTTTTTATTAGAATTAGCTAAGATATTGTCGTTTTTTCATGTACATCATAACTCTGTTTATTAAATGCTCTTCTGACTTAATATGCAGGGTCGTCCATATGTTTTTTAGAAACACATGTCTGAGGTCTTCCATTACAGTCATGTGAAAATTTGAATATGGTCAAGAAGTTGAGTAATATTTTGTAGTCGCTTGTTTTTTATTTGTTTCATTCTCCCTGTACGCGGTTTCCTCATTTTTTGTTTTCTCTTGTTTGGAGTGGGGCTATTTTACATGTCCTGCATATCATACACTCTGCATTTTTGTTTAACTTGGAAACCGTTGGCAATACATTCCTTGCAATGTCAAATCCGGCCCAACCCGCCCAATATTCTGTTCTCTCATTTGAAAAAAAAAAATTTCCATATTACTAAATCGTTTTTAGTTCTCAATAATACATATTCTTATAATTATAAAAATAATTTTTAATTACCACAAATAGAATAAAATATGTAAATATTTATTCTGTATTTTACTTTCATTATTTTTTAAATATTTGAATGAAAAATATTAAATTATTTATATTTTGTATTTTGTTAATGGCATATTTTTTATATTCTTAAGCTTGAGGTTGAATTTTGGTGTCAGCTCGGCTTTTTGTTTGTCTGTTTTTTTTTTTTTTTTTCAAGTTATATTAAGCAAGCCTTGTCGTATTCAGTCCAAACTGCTCTAGCCTCACAATAGCTGTGTAGTCTGATCTTGCGTCTGGTTAGTTGTGGCTTTTTGGTCCGGTGAAGGTCCATCTCTTTCTAAAATTCTCTTTAAGGTTCATCTTCTTAGGATTACTTATTATACAGAAAAAGACAAGTAATAGGAAATGAATTGGTTGAATTTCTTGCCCTCAATATGACTGCTTTGCTTAGAAAATGTGAGCCACCTTTTTAGTTACAAGATGCTACCATTACCACATGGCTATTTAGACATCCAACAAGATGCCTTTTAGCAAGGGGAATGCGATCCTAGTTTTTCTTTTTAATTTTATTTTAGGAGAGTGCATTGCCGAAATCCCAAAAAGGAGAAGCCCTTTCATTTTCTTCCATAGAAGTCTCATGAAGATTGGAAATTGAATGGTTCAAACTTGTGGATTCATTTTGTTTAAATAAAGGAACTTGTACAGTAACTGCATTGTCTAATTACCATACTCATGGAAGGGATTCTGGAGAGAGATTAAAAAACCTGTAATTCCGATATACTGCCCTCGTCCCATGCTCAAGAATTTGTTGTCATTGTACCTAATAGCCGTTTGTCTTGTATGCTTGGATATACATGTCCATGAGGTTATCATTTGTTGTGGATGAATGACTCCTATCTCCTTTGTGGTAGTTTTTGTCTGGTATCTAATTTGTCAGGTATCGTGAACTTTAGCAATTCGAGCATGGTGCCATTATATGCGAGCATCATTGACTCTCTAGAATGTTACAAATACAATTATTAAATTTTGTTTAACCTTGGGATTTGCTTGTAATTTTTTATTTTACTTTGACCTTGAGCCCCATTTCATGAGTGTTTCTACTTTTGCAGTACTACTTTGACACACTCTTTCCCCGCATCCCTGTTCCTGTAATGCGGCAGATTGTGTCTAATCTTGAGAAATTGAAGCTCCCTACTACACATTCTGGCTCAACTGGGGAATGCACCCGCCATGGTTCTGATGAGACTGCCCGCAGACCTCCTTCTGTGAAGGCTGCCCTCTCAGTCTCTTTTGGTCAGCGGGCTCCACATCGTGCTTCAACAAGGGATTCATCCCCCATTCGCCGCACTTTACCTGGTCCACCTCATGAGAGAAATGGCAGTGAAGAACAAAGATCTCCAAGCACTCGACAAAGTGGAAGCCATGAATATTATGAAAGGGATCGTGATAGGGAAAGGGAGCGTGACCGCTCTCGATCTAGGGACAGAAACAGGGATTATGAAAGGGATCGGGATAGGGAAAGGGACCGTCATCGCTCTAGATCTAAGGACAGGAACAGGGATTATGATCGTGACAGGGACCGGGACCGAGACAGAGAAAGGTATCGAGACTGGGATAGGGATAGAGATCGTGAGAGGGACAGAGACAGGAAGGATAGGGGTAGAGAAAGGGATAGGGAGATAAGTTATGATTATGATAGGAGGTCTAAGTATGCAGAGAGAGAAAGTAGCCGGGATTATGACTATAGAAGGCATGATGGTAGCAGGCACTATCGAAGCCGGAGCAGGAGCCGGAGCAGGAGCAGGAGCAGGAGTCGGAGTTTGCAAGCTGGTTCTGCTCGGTTGGAGTCACATTCTAGTCCACAGAGGGACGGGAGTAAGGACAAGACATCTGCTTCCAGTAATCTAGCTAAACTAAAGGATATCTATGGTGATTTAAGTGATAATAAACGTGATGTCAACAACGACAGAATTCCTGGAAGGGATAATGGTGGTGAAGAGGTAATTAGACTTGGCGGTTCCACCTGGAAGTACTGAAACATTTCTTGGAACGCCAAGTGCGTTAAATGTTGGATTACTTTTTACGAGAAAGTATATTGGACCTTTCCCTTTGTAGCTGCCTCTATTTGTTGACTAGAGATTTAGTCTGACTAACGCTATCTATGTCATTATATTTAGCATGATGAGGGGAGAATGTAATACTAAATTTAATCATAATTTTCTTTCTGGTATGTTTTGCATGTTTTAAATTGTAGGTGGAAGGCTATTTTTGGTGTCTGGAAAGCAAAAAGCATGCCTTCATTTATTTGTTGGAAGTGATTTTTGCCGGGTCTCTTTGCACCATCGGAAAACATAACGTGTGTTTTGGCAATGGCCTTGGGAGGATCAAGATTGATGCATAAGTTGGTGCTGTTTAAGTTTTGAAGGATTAATTCCTAGATGCTGCGGAAAATACTTCTTTGTGTTGCCCTTGACATTGTCATAGAAAACGTTTAGTGGACTTTACCGCTTTTTTCTAATTTCCACGTTGGAAATTATTAATGAGGCGCATGATAGGGTCATGAAACCAAGCAACTCAATGAAGCCTTAACAAGTCATCTCTATCTATGTTGACTCAAAAGAGGACGGCAAAAATGGGCGCGTGCAACGTCCCCAAGTTTAAACGGGAAAGGTCCGTCGGAATGTGCCTCGTCTTCGGTATACTCTTTCAGCAGTCTTTTTTAATGAGCAATAATTATTATTATTTTTTGTTTCTAAATATAAACATTTTCATGTTATCTTAAAAAATTTTAAGCAAATTTTCTATTTTGCCCCTAATAAATCACTTATTTTAATATTCAATATATTTATTATCTCATTTTTCAAACTATTATTTTTATTTCATTTACCTTCTCTCTCTTTCATAAATAAGGTTACTTTTTATAAAGAACTTTCAATTTCTATCTATTTTCTGATTTATGTGATGGAGTGTAAAGTTACTTATAAAAAATGGCAAAAGGAGTATGTCACTGTTTATCCATTCTCTACTGTGCAATTAGTAAAAAATGAAGGACCTATCATTTGAACTTGAGAGGAAAAAATAGGTAGGATGAAAGTAACATAATGTGGCTAACAAGAATTGGTCAAATTAGTAAAGAATCGGTTTGTAATTTACAATGATGTGAGTTTAATTTCACTACCGATAGAAGGATTTTGTTGGTAGGTAATATGTGAGTATCTCTGTGAGTGTTCTTTGAGCCTAGAGGCCTATCCTAATTTTAATAAGCTTTCAGGACTCAATTCATCTAAATTTTTTTATATAAAAAAAAACAAGGTAATGCACAAAGAATGAGAAGTAATCATATTTTTTGTGTTGCCAACAATTCTTTTGACTAATACAACTATATTGATCAATAATCTAGTTTCTAATATCAACTTTGAAAGTATGGATAGAAGTATTGATTAAATAATGTAGGGAAAAAAAAACAAGAAGAAAGACTTTGAGCAATGGAGACCTTGTAAATCTATTCCTGATTTTCTTTAGTTAATCTCTAGCAACAATAAGATGTAAGAGAAATTTCTACATTTAAGCTTCACAATAGTGAAAAGAGAACTTGTGTGGTGGGAGCCAGTGAATCTCTTGCTACTCACACTTGATAGAGCGATAAATGTGACGGACAAAGATTAAAGAAGCACGAAATCCGGTGGTTCCGAGCATGAGAAAGAAACCATAGCAAACGCAGGCCATGTATCCGAAGAAGAATGAGGTTTGCATGAAACCATACATATCTGACCTCGCATGGTAGTAGTACAAGCAGTAGCCATATATGAACAAGCCTGTTGATCCACCGCAAAGGAAGGACCTAGTTTCATCCCAGATATGCAAAGTTAGTATACAAAAGAATTTGAAGAAAGGAGCGAGGAAAAGACAAAACAGTAATCATACCTCCACCACCATTCGTGGTCCTCAGCAGCAAGCTGAAAGTATGCCAATGCCACAGTGATGAAAGCAGTGACAACAAAGAGAATGATGAATACAATGAACAGAATGCTGTATATGGTGTAAATCCTGTGGCCCCAAACACTTGCAAATATGTAGTAGAGTTCAATGTAAATGGCACTGAAAGGCAAAAACCCTGCCATAGCCATCTGAGGAAGAGTCCTCCGGTACCATGGTAGACAGGGGATCTCTCTGGGATACTTTGTGGTGCGACAAGGAGCTTGAAACTCTGGTCTGCTGTTCTTACCCGCAATTCCCCCCAGTACTAGTAATGGTGAAGTTACAAGAGTCCATATGAGAAAAATAACAACAATCGTTCCAAATGGGAGTGCTGCAGTGGAGTTATAGGCCAGAGCAACAGTATTAAGAAAACAGAATGTCAAAAACAAAGGTCCAGTGAACAGGCTTCCAGTCAACACCAAATTCCTCACCTAGCAAGCCATAGAACCAAAATTTTATCTGTTAATACGCTGCATTTGGATTTGTAATTTCTGCAGAGGAATTTTCAAATGCTATGAAGATGCAAACCCCGGGAGGAAAACTACAGCATCATAATAAATTGTCTTATTAAGTAATTAATGTGAGCCATGGAGAGACTCATGTTGAATCAAGTGTCAAGTCAGCAAACTAGAATAAATTCAGAATCATTTGCTGGAATCTTCATTTTGGACATGGAGCAGAAAGAGTCAATAACAACATTATGTTCGAGCAAAACTGACAGTGACATTCTTGCACAGACATGAGTACGGCACTGAAATAAGCTGCAAAAGGAAGTGTTGGAAGCACAAATGACACGTCATATAAAAAGCGAGAATTTACCCAGTTTTTCCCTTCGATCATGCAATAGAAGGACGCTGCAGCGTAGCCCGCAATCCCAGAGGTTAAAGCATATATAATAACCAGTGCGGTAAACAGAGCTCCTCTGTTGTATGGATAGAAAACACCAACCAGAGCCAGCATAAAGATGAAGATTGTGCTGAGAACGGGAGCGAAGATACATGTTAAAGAAAAACATGAAAAAAAACGACTCGAAGGTTAAAAAACCAGATCGTGCCAAGATAAGCACTCACAGTGAAAATAGCTGGGTGCCAGATCCAATGGCTGCTGCAAACAAAGACTTGTATCTTGGGTACCTGAATACGTCACCATGAATGTATTTCCATCCTCCCTCGTCTTGGTCATCAGCCTCCTCCTCATCATGTGTAAACCTATCATGTTTAGAATTGTGGTTACATCAGAGTCATAAATTAGAATTCAATTCATGAGAGCAGGCAAGCACAGATTAATTGGTGGGATTTATTCTTACTTAATAAAGTCATTTTTTAGTATACGCATGAGAATCGTGGCTAGGAATCCGGTCAAGAGGAGAACTGTCACGCAGGAATTGATGATTGAAAACCAATGAATTTCCAAGTGATGTGGCAATGTAGAAGCCTGCGAGTATTTCTCCATTCTCTTCTCGAATGGAATATCTGTTTGAATCCATTTGACAGAGTATGTGAAGTCCACATCGAGCTCTCTGTCCTCTGTCAGGTCCACTAGGGCATTTTGGTCACTACGAACTATAACGTCAATGATGCGATCCTTATTGTAAAGGATTTCAAAATGGAGATGCTTAAAAAGATAAACTTTGGACTCTTTGGGGTCATCATCTTTGCCTTCTTCAGTGTCAAATTTTCCTAGGAAGCCCCAGATGGGCAAGTCATCATAGTACATTTGGAAAAAGTAATCCTTCAAGACAGCAGCTCGGAATCTAGCAACTTCTTTCTTTGTCAGCGTCTTTCTGCAAATACTTTCGGGTTCTTTATCAACTAGGAAGGGCAGGGTATAAGGAGCAACAACTAATCGATCCCCATTCAGAACTTCTCCAAGAGCTTCTTTCTTTTCTTCAACATGAGCTGCATTAAACAACTGTCAATTACAAATAGGGGAGGACCACCATAGCAAATATGAATTCTGTCAGGAAACCAACCTGGTAAGCAGAAGGGAAGGTCAAAATATCGGTATGTTTCGCTGTTGGCATAAAAAGAAGAGAAGTACAAAAAAATTAGGAAAGTCGTCCGCTGTGATGGAGAAATACATATAACACTTCTTTTGAACAAAATTTAATCAGTCATACAACGAAAACACGCGCCCCTATATGTCATATAACCATCAAGCATTTCAGATGTCTTGGAGGTCCAGTTTTTCAGCAAGTTTGTTACCCTGCTACCCACTGATGATAGATTTTCAATCTCTTTTATGTTCTCATTTAGAGAATTAGTTAATGCAAACAAAAATGAATTTAGGAGTCTTTTATTTAATGAAAATCAATGCATTAAAAGACTTAATATAAATTCAATTATGAATCTAGATGAAAGTTCAACAGGGAACAAAAGGTCTATACCTTTAATTGTCAATGTAATTCTTTAAAGTAAACACTCCCTGAATTTTCTCCAATAGCAATTAGCAATAGAAACAAACCAAACCTTTATCCATCTGGTGTTAAGAGGTCAACTTACAAGGTTTGAGATCTTACAGCTATCATGGATGTAGTCAGAATTAAAATCGAGCTGCTCACGCAGCACTTATTTCCTACTTACTGGAATTTGATCCGTTCATACACAAAATAACAAGCATTTGGCGGTCATAAGAGAACCAGAATTCACGCATTAATTTGATGGTTGCCACCATTCATTCAGAGTAATAAAATTAGAACGATCATGACCAAATCCATACCATGAGATCAGGCTGATATTGCATCTATCGTCTTTATATATTTACCGGCGAGAAACTGAAAATTCAAATTTTAGAGACTCCGGGGGAAATCATTCTGTGCGAAGTTAAATTCTCAGTATTTGTCCGAGGAGAATTGGGGTTGAAATGAAGAAATACCTGGGATTGTGGAAGGGTCCCACCTTGTTGGCGTAAAAGGGAACGTAATCACCCGCTTTGTAACGATGATCCGATTCATCAGATGTGACATGAGATACGCAGCAGCAGAGAATGAAAATGGCGTCAGCCAAACACGGCACTGACATTCCCATCAGTGAAGCGAGGGAGGCTCTGCAATGGCTTCTGCCAGTAGCGAGCGGTTAGCCAAATAGATGCATGCGAGAGTGGTGGGGGAAAACAACACAATTCACAGAGAATGGAATCTCCACGCCTTCACCATAATCAAGTAGGATGATTTCGTTTCACAGTGCCTATATATACATTTGACTTAGTGTGGGTTCAGAGGGTGTGGGAAATCCTCTTCGTGAATTGCGAAGAAATTAATGAGCAATGGCAAGGACGTGCCTAACGCACATGGCGTGAAGACAATGCCAGTCTACCTTTGATTCATAATGGATAGATCGACCTGAACTCTTTTAGTTGTTTATAAGAAATTTTCAACATATTTTGTAAAAATTAAGAAAAACTTCTTCTTCTTCTTTTTTTACTATTTTAAAATCAACTTTTCAATTTATTATTATTTTATACATATATATTAAGATCATAATTTGGGATAATCACAAAAAAAGAAGCTGGAATTTTGTAAATGCCAAACAAGGAACATCAACAAAAATTTGTTGTTATTTGCAAATTCAGACTTGTTAATACTAAATAAAGTTGTGTTACCAAATTTGATTTGGGATTTGTAATTTTCAGCTTCTTTTTCTGTCATTCTCCCTTAATTTAAATATAAATTAATTTAAACTTACTTTAAATATTGTTCTTTTACGTATACTTAAGTGATATAATACACTTAAGCATCTTAACTTACTTGAATCGGCTACTTAGTTTTACTCCTTCAGACGTGTTTCATCTCATGTGGATTCTATAATTAAATGGAAATTTTGATAGATCTCGATCTTATATCTTAAATACTTTAATTTCACTCCTCATCAACATAATTATAACTCTACTTCGAAAAAGTAGTAAGGTGCCAAAAGTATTAATTAATGATACAGTTTGTTTCTCACCTGGCTTTTTCTTTCCACTCATGTCCAAAATACCAGTAGCTGTATTAAATTAATTCATTAATATAAAATTCATATTAATATTTTATAATGTTTAAAAATTGTTTTGAGGTCACTTGGTTAGGTAAGTAGGGAGGGGGGATGTCTGAATTCTTGACAAATAACATTTGTCTTGCTTAGTTGCTGTTTTAACTTACTGAATAATGCATAAATAGGTTTCCTAGTATTTTGTTTCTCATCATATCAAAAAATTATATTTTTCGTAAAATAAATGATTATAAATTCCAAAAAAATCGTATGCACTAAGAAGTATAATTCATGGGAAGTTATATTTTCTGAAAAATTAATCTTCCAAAAGAAGTGCAAATCAACCAAACGAGAATTTAATTTATTTTTTGCAAAGTTGAATTGGCAGTAATATTTTACCAGACAATTTTAATTGAAAATATATTTAAATTTTTTTATTGGTTCAAAAATTATGATAATATTTTTTAAATTGACCTTAATTAATCTAATTGTACTCTTTGAACCTTCAAAATCGAACATCGAATGGATTATTAATGTTAAGTATCAAACAAAACTTCATAAAGACTGAAGAAGAAGTATTTAGTTGATATGTAATTCCAATGAACAACGAAGTACGTTTGGAAATATTACCTCTAGTTTTTAAATAAGAACTAATTGACTAATTAAATAAATTAAAAAGTCTGTTGAGTTAATTATTTATAATAAATAAGTATTATATTTTTAAATTCCCTTATTAATTATATATGTTAGTTAAAGTTACTATTTAAAAGAAAACTTAACATGTGTAAGGACTATTTTAGAAAAATGAATAAGTATTAGAGATAAAGTGAATTGGGACTTTCTATTTAAAATCAAACTAATAGATTGACGGTAGAAGATAATGGTCCTGTTTGAGATTACGATTGAAATCACTTATAGTTCAGACAAAATTTTTCTCACATATTTATATCATATTTCATAAATCATGATTAAAAAAATACTTATAAATCATTCCAAACATGTCCAATAATGTGTCCAAGGATCAGTTTTCGTCATCAAGACACTACACATGCTAAGGTCGGTTACGAGGTAATGGATTCTTGGATCGGGCGAATTCATAATAAATAAATTCGTATATTAATCCTATAATAACTCACATTTATTTTTATTTTCTTGAGAAAGTTTAAACTTGTAATATCATATTTAAAGAAGAAGTTTTTGAAAAAAATGCTTAATGTTACGGTTCTACAATGCTCTGACTAAATACCATACTCATTGTTTTTTAATATTAAATTTTCAAAAAACTTTAATAAATAAATATTTATAACTTATCCTTAAAAATATCCTTGTGTTTTTATAATGATTTTTCCACCCTCTTGCTCCTAGTTAACCATCCCCATTAAAAAGTAATCTTGTTTCTTAATGGGCTTTAATTAGCCCAAAAACTAATTGACTTTTCTTAACTTATGGTTTCTTTATGTGTTGTATACGTTATTTGTTCACGCCAATTGGAGGATGCTGCCAGGCCAGACGCACCGCCACCCTCTTCTTCTATTCTTGTTTTGTAGCCTAATAAATTGCTCTTTTAATTATGATTTTAGTGCCATGTGACCTGAAAACTGGAATTCTAATCCTAATCTTTCCACCACAGAAAACGCCACTTCGACTAATTCCCGTATACGTCCATCTTTTTTTTAGTCTCAAAACGTGCATACTAAGGATCTCCAAATCTCTTATTTCATCTTTCTTCGTTGATTTTCTTCCATTTTGAATATTAAATAAATAGAATAATAACGTGGCAGGGCATGAGGGCAGCTACGGTTCCATTCTTTCGGCGAACTCAATCTTCAATTGCGGGCTGCCTTTCTGACCGGGCCTCTATTGGGCCCAATCACGCTCCTTCATTGGAAGAACGAATTTAAAAATAGTTTTTTTTAATCTACCTCAATGAATTCAAAAATTGTAATAATTATGAGCTGTACTTGATATGAAAACAAAACAAAATGACGCGTTATTTTCATCCTTATATATCACATCAACAACATGATAAATATTAAAACATAAAAAAAATCAATTGAGTCTATCTGTGCAAAAGCGTAGATTAAGATCTATTCTGGTTTGGGTGTTTGTTAGAGCAAACTTTTTTCTCTTGGGGTTAGATGGCACCAGGCTAATTTTCCTGGCCTTAAGAGTACAAAGAATAAATTATATTTAATGCGATGAATTTATTAAACTTTACATTTACAAATGCAGTGTATAAATATTAGAATATTTTAAAAGAGGAATTTTTAAACTTAGGGGTGCTTAGATGAAAATGAAATCATGGTTTTAAAAGTAATTTTATGATATACAAAATAAATATACAGGAAAATTTATCTCGAAAAAATGTTTTTCAAACACATTTTTATAACTTATCAAACACCCTTTAGAGAAAAGTATCAGAGGCGGGGGCGCTACGAGTGGCTAGTGTTCGACTTGGACATAACTAGAATCAGTGAAGAAGCGGCATTCATGGATCATGCATCCTCTAACTTACGCATTCACCAACTCACATCTATGCTGTTTTTTCCATTTTTTTTCAAACATATGTTGGACTTAAATAACGTCAGCAATTATTAAATCTTAAGCTTTCGGGTAAGACTTCGTTAAATTTTTGGCCTAAAAAAACAGCAAGCAGCAATATCAAACCCTTTTCTTTAAGATTATGTGAGTACAGTCTCAATTTTGAAGGGCCTGGTTCTCCTCTTTCAAAACTTGTATAGTAATTCGGTTCATTTCATTTTTCAGAGGTACAAAGGCATTCGCCGGTGAAGTTTTATGCATCTAATGAACCCTCCATTCATCTTTATAAACTATGCAGGATTTGGGTTGGAGTTTTTGTACAGAAACACTAAGACATACAGATATATGTATCATACAAGAGTAAGGGCTGAACTCAGCCCTTGGTTCTCATAATGGTAATGGAACCTCTACCTTGGGTATGAATCCTTGTGAGGGCTACCACTGCTTTCCCTGACATACCAAAACTGCGAGCTGAAAACGATGACGCAGAAGAAGTCATCGAATGTGGCACGGGATGTGGAATTGGCTTTGTTGGGCTCATCACTATCTGCTCGTTTATGTCTTTTAGGGTTGTTTCACCTTCCATTCCTCCACGCTTCACCAACTCAAATGGGTATGCTATTTTCTTCCACTGACTCTCTGGACACGGCATGAAAATGCATCATTATCTTTCAAACAAGAAGGGAAGAAGAAAGATTAAGAATGTGTGGGATAAGGGAATATTAAATCAAATAATGGCCTTTAGGTGATACTTGAAACTGAAGCATCATTTTCATCTGAGTCTCCAGATGCCCAGCTCCTCTGAGAACTGTCATCTTTGATTATTGCTCCATGCATATCACTCTGTGTTGATGATTGACCCCTAATGTTCAATTCGCGACTATCTGCAAAGTAATAATTAGCATAAATGACACTATGACAGTGAGGTTGTATATCTGTTACTGTTATTGTATAAAAGTAGCAGGTTGTGTTTCCACTACAAGTAAAATACAGGTCTTAAATGTTAGGCTGATCATTTATTGCAAGGAATATAAGCCACAGAATAAGAAAACAACCACCCCTTCCCAACCGGCAAAGACAGACCAATTAATTGTCTCATGAACCTCAACTATGAGTTATTGCTCAGAACGAAGTAACACTGAAGAAGAAAGAAGGGCTTACTATCAAGGACTTGGGCTGTTGTGGCAGAACAAGTTGAAAATAGATTTATCTGGTCATCCAAATAAAGTGATTCCTGTAAATGATCAACAAGGTTATCAGGTTTCCAAGAATATGAAATCAGCAATGGAGTATGTTGGTCAGGAAAATGTAAAGAGCATAAATTCAAGATAAAACCTTTTGATCCTGAAAGTGGGATGGTGAATTTTCTTTGTTGCACCAAATACCCCAACCAGAAATAGCATCTTCAAGGTACCCAGTCGTAGGATCAGATAAAAGCCAGGATTCTGCAGCTGCAGCATCTGGGATAAAGCAAATCAAGATTACAAACAAGTAAAACTCAAGTAAGAGTGGAAAAGGGGAAGCGAAATGGATTGCAATAGCATGAATACCTAGATATGTATCTGAATGAGTGGCTTCAGACTCCAAATCCATGGAGGCTGAGCAGTGAGAACACTAGCTGGTGAGGTATGATACAGCCCCCTGTTATGCAGGTTAATTATTGAGTGCTTAACTTTCATATATGTGAACAAAAAGACTACTGTATTTCACCTTTTTGGCTCGAAGAAATTTATTGTAATGGGCCCTTTGAAACGCTGAAAATACCCACCTACCTAACCACGCATTAGTCAATGCAGAGCAAAATAATAAATGGGCCACATTAATTAAATTATTAATATTTATGTAATATGGCTACAAGTTTTTGGTCTAATTATACTAAGGAAGGTCTTTTTTTTTTTGTAAGAAATGAGCACGAGCTTTTTACTCATCTACCAAGTTGTGCAGCCTTCTAGATTAGTTTATACAACAAGAGTTACATGATTGAGCTCAAGGTCTCTGAGAATCATATCTATGTCTGTTCCTTCTACGTTGACATAGACACAGAGATATTATTAGGCACTTCTATCTTACTTTTAGAAGACGTTATTGAGTATGAAATGAGGTATTTTATCATAACCGAAATTAAAGAAGTTAAACCACTCAGAATTGTCTGAAGCGGCTGGTGGAAGGTAGAAAATGGAGAAACATAGTGGACACGTTCAAAGCATCACTATCCTGGATTCTCATTCGTTATGAAATCTCTTTCTTTGGTGCAGAGACTCAAAGGAGGTGTACGACTGTCTTCTTTCTGATTCGTTACGTTTCTTTGTCTTAGGTAGAGTTTTCCGAATGTTGCTGTTCTGCGCCGGAAGATGAGGACCAAAAGAAGCTACCGACTAGATTTGAAAATAGGGTATTCTAGCTTTACGTTTTTGAGTATTGATTTCTGCTATTCGATTCTACTAGTAGCCAACCTACTGAAAAAGCCTTTGACTTTCCATTCATAAATAGATTTGAACAAGCATTCAAGTTGAATCTGCTAAAAAAGAACAAATCTTCCCCTGTTTTTCTTGCGGAAGGACTATATTTTGTGCTTGTAGACTAAAGTTTAATCACAAAACTGGTGCAAAATGTAATGTAAACAAGGCAAATATACTTCGCATCTTTTTCATAATTAAAAATAAAATATGAAAGAGGGAGAGGAATGAGATGTGAGACATTATCTATTATTGAATCCGCATTATTGAAGAAGGTTTAAATGTTACATGCTGTTAGTGGAAGGAAAGTGGAGGGAAAGCAGAGGCGAATATGAGAGAAGGTTCAATTTGGCAGGGTTGGCAAAATATGACAGAGAGAAACAAAGAGCCGTCTCAATCCTCAGTGCTTCATCCTAATACAAAATGCCACGTGGATGTTTCTCCCCCCTCAAGCGCAAAACTTGTATCTCACTTTGTCGGGGTTTGCCTCTACCTTATCCCAAGTTTAGGTATGCATGTGTCTCTTGTTCACTAGTTTCCTCAACAAAAAAAAAAAGCTTAAAAATATTACATTTTCATATAAGAGTTGATGTATGATATGCCAACAAAATTATTTCCATTCACAAGATTCGGTTTTATAATTTATAGAAAGTATAAGTTCAAATTTTGTTGTCAATAAGGGAATCCAGCTATTTTAATTAATTTGGTGCATATTTGACAAACAAGGAGAGGATAAGACAAAGAAAGAAAAGAGATTGAGGAAATCTTTAGATTAAATCACTACATCCAATTTTCATCACAAGCAACTCATTCCTGAATAAGTAATTTATAAATATATTGTTAAACATCTTTTGAACGATGGGGCATAGTATGATGTTTGGTAATTCAATTTACTTGCTCTAATTCTAACTATAAAAATCAGTGAAAAGATTTACTTTGATGCCAAGCATAGAATCCCAGTTCACTTATAAATATGATTTGTTATCTAAATTATTATTATTGTTATTTATCAAATTTCATGAGATTTCTATTAAGAGTAATAAGGGATATTATAAGAAACCAATATATATTTAATACAAATAATTAATTCTGTAAATTAATTATCTAGGATACATTCAAAATTAAAGTGCCCAAAAAGTGGAGGGGAAAAGAATCAGATGCTGAACAACTAATAGAGAGGCAAATGGGATGAGAAGCACCAAACAGGTGTGCCAGTTTCTGGGTTACTCTATTCGGATTTCGGAAGGCAAAGCTTGGGTGTCACTTCACTCTGCTCTTTTTGTTGCCCCTTCTTTCTCTCATAAAGTCATTTGACAAAGGCCGATGATTTCTCCTTTTATACGTCTTTTTTAATTCTTTTTACCAAATAAGATCTCTTTAAAATAATGTCTATTTTCTATGAAATATTAGAATTCACTTAAGTCATTTTTTTTTAAATAAAATAATATGCAACACTAATTGAAAACATATGGCATACAAAGTTGAGAAAAGTTTGGTTAATTATTTTGTCTAAATAATTTCTCAAATCTCACTTGGTTTCGTCCAAATTTCAATATATGATTAAGGTTTTATTAAATAAATATCAAGCACATGTAATTAACCAGTTATAATTACAAAACAGGAAGCCATGGGCGCAGCTCTGTTTCTGTTGTAGGAATAATAAAGCCACCTCCTGATGGAATCATAGCTGTCCTCGCGTCTCCAGCTCTTTCAGGAACATTCTGACACAACGAATAATTTAGCCGAACAGTATAGCCGCCAATTTTGCCATTATATAACAACAAGAGATCCTTCCTCTCTCATCAGTATCATCAGTCGAAGATGGCGAAGTCACGCAGAGTTGGTATTGCAATGGACTTCTCTCCCACCAGCAAACTTGCTCTCAGATGGACCGTTGATAATCTCATCGACCATGGAGATCTCATCATCTTGATCAACGTTCAACCTCCTAAGTCTGATCACACCAGAAAGGAGCTTTTCGAAGACACTGGTTCACGTAAGTACCCCCTCTTGCTTCTACATGGCCATAGTTCTGAGTTGATCCTTTGTTTTTTTTTATTTTCGTCCACCTATGGCTTTGTTGTTCTGTTCGATGAAATGTTAATAATATTTTTCTGGGTTTGCAGCTCTGGTGCCTCTGGAGGAGTTGAAGGAGATAAATTTCACGAAGCAATATGGTATTGCGAGAGACTCTGAAGTTTTGGACATCCTTGATACTGTGTCAAAGACCAAAGAGGTATTCCTATTTGACCTTGGTTGCTTGCTCTGTTTTTGATCATATAACTTTCTTTTCTTATGCGATAATATTTGTATGTTTTTGTGGTATGGAAATTGAAACAGGCAAAAGTAGTAGCCAAAGTATATTGGGGAGATCCAAGGGAGAAGCTGTGTGCGGCTGCTGAAGATCTCAAGCTTGACTCTCTTGTAATTGGAAGCAGAGGATTAGGCTCCATTAAAAGGTAATACTATCATCTCTCTCTTTTTTTTCATGGAAAATTCATAATTCTACTTGTATGATTTCATTGAGTAGCTTAAATGTGTGTGATTTTCCTGCTTTAATGTTTCTTTTTAGGTTGTTGTTGGGGAGTGTAAGCAACTATGTGGTAACAAATGCTTCATGCGCCGTCACAGTGGTTAAGGGGAACCTGTCTTCCAATTCAAGGCACTGATATGGATTGTGTTTGGTTTGTGTTTGTGTTTCTTTAAAGCAAATTCATAAAAAGGAAAAAGAAAAGGTTTGATTGAAAGGTGCTTGTGAACATAAATATATGTACCGTTGGCTTTTCATGAAGTGAGAATAACAATGTGTGATTTAAAATTCTCCAAAAAGAATTACTTTCACAGTCCTGCTTATTCATTCTTCTACACGTGAATAATGTAAACAGAGCAATTGTAAATTTGCAATAATAACAAACGAAAACAAACATGGAAATTTGAAAGAATTTAACAAACGCCGTTCATCTTCTCGTTCATCTTCTTCCTGTCGGACACGAACTTCCTCCAGGCCGTAGTGATTTCCCTTTGGGTTTCGATTTCACTCTTTCTGGGGACGATATTGCCGTTTTCTGCCATCTCCGCCGTGACGTTGACGGTGGTGCTCTCGATGACCCGGCCAGGTAGCAAATCGAGCTCGTGCAAGACTTTCTGGATATCAATGACGAGACGCTCGGCGAAGGTTCGGGAGAAGTCCTCTCTGATGACGACGCGGAGGACGGTGACGTTCTGAGCATCTGGAGGCATAGTGTAAGCCGGCACGATCCACCCATAACGCTTCAAGAAATCAGATATCTGGAATTCCGTGAAGTGGCTGCGATCCTTCAAGGTGAAGGCCACCAACGGCACTCCATCATCTTTTGATATGATGTTAAAGCGCCCTGTTTTCTCCAACCCCTCTTTCAACACTATCATATTGTCTCTGCAATTTTCCATCACATTCCTATATCCCTGCATATAACCAGTCAACACACGTAAATTACAGCTCCGATCTTACAAATGGTGGTTCTTCGGGTTGGTCCCAGTACCTCATAGCCCAGGCGGATGAGCTGGTAGTACTGAGCAATGACTTGACTAGACCCTGCATTGAATGAATATCATATCAGAGTTTCAGTTAGATGGTGAGAATTTGAGGGATTTGGGTGTGTGTTAAACAAATGACTGACCTTTGGAGAAGTTGAGGGTGAAGGTGGGTTGATCAGCTCCGAGGTAGTTGATGTGAAAGATGAGTTCTTCAGGCAAATCTTCCTTACTTCTCCAAATGACCCAGCCGATTCCTGCGTACACAAGTCCATATTTGTGTCCACTAACGTTGATGCTCTTCACAAGTGGCAAGCGAAAGTCCCATTCAAGGTCTGGATATATAAATGGTGCGATGAAGCCACCACTCGCTGCATCCACATGAATTGGGGTATCCCATCTGCCACAAATGAGTTTCGTAGGTCAATTAGAGTCAAAGATTAAGCGTGTGCTTAAAAATCTATTATTCTTAACCAAACCATAGTTTTGACCAGAGTAATGTGAGAATGACATAGGGGAACAAAATTCCCCCACATGTAAATATTAAAAATGTGTGACTATTATTTAATTAAGTTTAAATGAGGTGATCTCTTTGGGATTGAATTTTTAAAGTTCAAGGGTATAATTGTAATAGAAGTAATGTGAAGAGACCGGATTGATATTGATAAAGATATTTATAATTTGTTGAGGGACCAAATTGTAAATATGACGAACCCAAGTGTATAATTATAAATAGGGGCTGTGGTAACAATCTGGAAAAAACACCAGATTGTGAATTTAAAAACTGATGCAAAGCAAAGGGATTCAGGTATACGCTTTCATCTCTGATTTCTAAGAATTGATATAGGATTGATCTTTTGGGTTTATGGATCTGATTCATGCATTAAATAGATGTATCTGATAATTTGGGTGTTTAAATCCATCGTAGCTTTAGCTGTTGCCAAAGACGTTTCTGAAAGAAGACATTCAAGGTGTAACAAACGGGAAAGAGGAATACCCAGTTTCGTTATTCTTCTCAATGAGGAGATCATTTAAGCGTTTGACATCTTCGAATTCTCCATTGAGGGTGGAACCAAGGATAGCAGCAACACAGATGGTGTTCTCATCCACCATTTCCACTGCCTTCTCAGGATCCATTACGAAGTAATCTTCCCTCAGCTTCACCTCTTTCAGCTCCACCTCAAAGTACCTCGCGAATTTCTCCCAGCAAACCTTTCGCACGAACATATGATGAACATAAGATTACTGAACCTGATCATCAACGCCTTGAAAGACTTGTATGTAAATCCATCAAAATGTATGAACAGACCTGAACATTAGCACCAGTGACAATATTGGGTTTGTCGATTGGCTTGCCCTCTGCTTTTCTTCTGTTCTGCCACTTTCTTTTGAAAGCCAAGCCAGCCAACATGATGGCCTCCGATGAGCCAACTGTGCCAACACCCACCGCAGTTTCTGAATCTTGAAGCGGTGCATTGAAAAGATGGGCTATCATGTTCACACACCGATTCTGCAACATCAAACAAACCTCAGTAACTCAACACTGCTAGTACATGTCAACTGAGCAGTGAAAAGTGAGAAGGAAGAAGGGGGGTGCCTGGAGCTCGGTGGTGACTGGATACTCATCCATGTCGACGTAATTCTTGTTGATGGCGGACATGATGAGCTTGTCGCACTCAGGCTCCATCCAGGTGGTGACGAAGGAGGCGAGGTTGAGCCTGGGATTACCGTCCAGCATGAGCTCGTCGTTGATGATCTGGTACGCCGCCTCCTTGGGGATCGAATGCTCCGCCATCTTGAACCTTGGCAACGCCGCTCTCACGTATCGCGACGCGAACGTCGAGTGGACGGAGGCGTCCGTCTCAGAAGCTGTCTTCGACAGAACCATGGCCGACACACAGACGGAGGATCAGGGCGGGGGGAGGGATAGAGAATTGAATCAGAAATGAGATGGTATAATGAAATGATAGGATGAAGAAGAGGAGGGAGGGAGTTAACAGAGAGTGAGTGGTGAGTGCGGTATAATCGCAGCAAAACACGATTCAAACCCAGTCTATACATGGAAACCCCTATTTATGCCTCATTCCCTCTTTCCTTTTATATTTTACCACAAAAACAAATTCATTCCCTCATATGATATTATATGGAGATGGATAATAGTCTGTCAAAATACAAAGAATTTTTTTAAAGAAAACTACACTGATCTCTACTTGATCGTCGTTTTCAGTTGCAATGTAAAAGAAATAAATGATAATATATGTAATTTTATATATGACCAACAAGAAGAAGCTTATAATATAAAATAATGATAAAAGAAAATTACATGAACTTGTATGAGTCAGGGTACTGATATTTCTAATCATTTAGATTAGTTCGATTTTAATGTTAATTGGAAGTTGAGGAAGTAATAGATATAAATATATGTATATTTTAAAGAAAACTGCAGTTATTTCTGCTTGATCTTCATTATTAGTTACAATGCTCCCATAATTTATAGAAGAAAAATTACAATTGGTATCTATCACTACCTCTCATCTGCTTAATTTCCAAGTCTAAATGGCCATTACCTTGCTTCAAGTAATTTGCCCAGTCACTTCAAGCGGGTTATGTAACATTTTCCGCGTAGTTTTCGGTTTTCAATAGTTACGTAGTTTAATCAAAAGAATAATTGGCTTGGGCACCAATGATGATTCCAGCAATGCTTTCGGAGGTGAACGGGGTGATTCCAGCGACAACGATGGATAGGGAGGAATAGTGAACAAAAAAAGAAAAAAATTTCTCTTCATAGTGACTTTGTTAGCAGCGCTGATAGTTTAGCCGAGTTTGCTCTAACCCTATCAGACCATAGTTGCATCGTTGACCATCTTCCACTTTGGATTAGAGAGGTGGATGAGGGTGAACGAATCTTAAGTCGAAAGGACTTCCGTACAATTCTCTTTCGAATCTATGAATCATCTTTTATCAATACATACAACACAGGTGCATAAATATACGTATTTAAAATTATAAATTTTAAAATACTTGTTTAAGTCTTGAGACTATATATGTTAATTATATGCTGAATAAAGCAAGCATGAAGGCAAAGCAAAATCAGCAGAAATAAGGCCAAATCCACTTCCAAGGAATCAATAGAAATTACACGACCATCTGTTTTTGCAATTAGGGCTAATAAATAACCAAACCCCATTTCTTCTTCCGTTCAACACAAAGAAGGAGGAAAAGGGCCCAAATGTGAGAGACCAATGATTCTTTTCCTTCCTTTTTATTTTTCCCGATAATGTAGCATCAGCGGAGTGCCCTCCTCCTGTTTCGCAAGCCTCACCCATCTGAAACTGCCACTAAAACAATAGCTAGCTAAGCAAAATTTCAATAATAAATGTTGACTCCCACACAATACTGCAACAAGGCCCCAGAACAAACAAGTACAGTTCCGACAGAAATCATAGAAAAACGTGGAAAGTGATCGACTGGTAAATGTTTACAGTACTTTTCACCAACATTTCAATGTTTCCCGCGTCCTTTGAAATAAAATATCATTGCTTAAATATGTAGGGAACGAGAAAGCAGCTTACCAGACTCAGGCCTAAGCAGAAAGTTTGGCTTTAAGCTCATTTGCCACGGCATCGATGAACTCCTCGGTGTTCAGATAGTGCTCCCTAGAAAGCCTGCTCGCACGTGAAATGTAAAGTGAAAAATCAATCCATGTCTTCTAGAAATGCCAAATCTGGCAAATGATGCAACAAATTAACATGTAACATACTTGGATCCATGAATAATGAGTGCCAAATCCTTGGTCATCTTCCCAGATTCTACTGCTCCAATGCAAGCAGCTTCTAGTTTTCCAGTGAAATCCAATAGTCTAGCATTGTCGTCCAACTTTGCCCTGTCAATAAAGATGTATCTTAATCTCCACACTAAATCGAAATCAAACATTACAAGTTAAGTGTCTAATACAAGGGGGAAAGAAACAAAGCACTCAACACTGCAATATAATTGCAGGTAAATACCTGTGGGCTAGGCCTCTGGTCCAAGCAAAGATGGATGCTATGCTGTTTGTGCTGGTTTCCCCTCCCTTCTGATGAACCCTGAAATGGCGTGTAACTGTACCATGGGCTGCTTCTGCTTCTATGGTCTTTCCATCAGGGCAAACCTGAACCCAATCCATATATTGAGTTTTGCGGACGCATGAAAATACCAAGAAGCTTCAAATGGGCGTTACCCAACCAAATCATGGGGTACAGGCATCGCATATCAAAGGTTGGGTGAAATGTATCAGGACTTGAATTAACACTTACCAGAACTGATGTCATCAGACCCAGCGATCCAAAACCTAAAACAACATAAAAAGGTATTAGTGACCAAAAGAAAAGTATAGTAGAAGAAGAAAATAAAAAAAGTTAAAAAGGAAATCATACAAACCTTGGGCTAAGAAATCGCTTTGGACATCTCCATCATAGTTTTTGCATGCCCATACATAACCTCCTTCGCTCTTGAGAGCATACGCAACCATGTCATCAATAAGCCGGTGCTCATACCTTCAAGTCCATGAGATTAATGTAATTAGATAAATGTATGATACACAATATCCCCCCCCCCAAAAAAATAATAATAATAATAATAAACCATTTGTACACTCACCATATACCAGCAGCCTCAAACTTTGATTTCCAGCTGGCCTCATAAACTTCTTGAAAGATGTCCTTAAATCTTCAACCAATAAGTGAATAAAAATATAATTGAACAGGGGAAACCACAGAAGGCCAAATCAAAACCATAATTGCAAATATTTTGCCCGAAATGAAAATAAATAACAAACTAACTTTTGCTTACCTTCCATCGTACTTCTTAAGGATTGTATTTTTTGTGCTAAGATAAAGAGGCCATTTCTTCTGATAAGCAGTTGCCATGGAAGCCTCAGCAAAAGCACGGATAGACTGCGACCATCAAAAGAAAAGCGGGAAAAAAAGAGTATTAGTAACCTGCAAAATCAGTTAACTTTACCTAATCAAACCAGCAAAGGACACTGTAAATCAACCTCATCAGTGTTATACATAGCTAACGTAACGCCCCCTTCACCAGTGAAGTTATAAACCTCTAGTTCAGTCTTCTCTCCCTGCCCTTCTGGTACTGCAAGAATAAAGAAAATATGAGTAATTTACAATAACTGACAAACATAATAAATAGATACTGGCTCTCCAGAACTTGCATGTGACGAACTAATGAAAATTGAAATGCAAAGTAACGATAACATGGTAACAAGAAAGACCCATCTAAAAGCAGAGCGTATACCAAACACTAGCTTCAGCTGACCAGCTCCTTTAATAACTGTGTCAGTGGCCCGATATTGGTCACCAAAGGCATGCCTTCCAATGCAAATTGGCTTAGTCCAGCCTATCAAATTGTATCATTAGAATAGTTGCACTCCATAAATGAAGAAGCAAAGTAGCACAACACAAAATTCAATATAAGTACCTGGAACAAGCCGAGGGATGTTTTTGCAAAGAATTGGTTCTCTAAAGACAGTTCCTAGAAGAATTTTGCAAACAGTGCAACCAATAAGAAACCAACATGTCACCCATCTATCACTTATCACCCACCAGCCACAAACAAGAAGCATAATATTTTAGTCCCTAGCATTTAACGTATAATAACCAATGAATGAAAGTTCAGTTACCATTCAAAATGTTCCTAATTGTGCCATTTGGACTCTTCCACATATGCTTCAAGCCGAACTCCTTCACACGAGCTTCATCTGTTCATCAAAAGATCACAAATCTTAGTGCTGCTTACATCTATAACCTACCCCTTAAGTTGTTAAAATTCCTGAATAAGCAATAAAATAATTAAAATTGCAGGGCATTGCCGTTCTCATTTTTGTCAACGTATGTAAGCGATCTATGAATGCAAAATCCTATCGGGGGTAAAAAATAGACCCAACCACAGTACCTGGAGTAATAGTAGCACACTTGATTGCTACATTGTACCTGTATAACAGCGCGTAACCATTAGGGAAGAAGAAACAACACCAAATTTTTCAAATGATTTTGAATTACAAAGACTAAACAAATTAAAGATGCGAAGATAGAACGCCAAGCAACTCAACAAATAATGTAAAGAACATACTTAAGAGTAGCTTCTGCACTTTCAACAGTAACTTTATCATCAGTCTCATCACGGTAAGGAAGGCCCAAGTCAAAATACTTGATTTCCAGCTCGACAAATGGAAGAATGAGCTGTCAGACAAAAGTAACAATTGAGTCACGACGAATCCAAAAATGTATCCTGATAGACACATTAAGCGCAAAGATGATAAAGAAATACCTTATCCTTGATTGACTTCCAGATAACTCGAGTCATTTCATCTCCTGCAGCGCAGCAATTAGAGAGAGTGCCGTGAGAAAGGTAAGGATTTCGGAAAAGAAAAATGTAATCAGCCATGCAAGATATATAAATCAAATCAAATTAAAAATACTGTATTCGTATATTTGCGTTCCATAGTTGGTGTCGATACAGAGCATAGTCATCTACAAGGCCAGTTCTTACTTTAGAAATGGAAAATGGATTTCAGTGAACGCTTAAAACACCATTGACCTATCCTTCGAAGATTCTAAACAAACACAAGAAACATTGACCAGACTAGATCAACCCCATCTAGAAAATGCCAACAATTTTACCGGGCATTAGCAGATCAAATATTCACGAAAAGAAATGGACAAACGACGATTCAGTAAAGCTTTCTTAGGCAGCTTTGCTCAAACGGAAATACGTCCACAGATAACAGTAAACAAAAGGAAAAGAGAGAGTAGCCAATTTCAGGTAAAAGAAAAATAACAATAGAATGGATGGCTCGCCCCACGATTGATTAAAGTGAAAAGGCATAAGAATTACTTCATTGCAATAATATCTCGAAAATGCATGCAAAGGAGGTGAAAGAAATCTACTAAACACATAATGGCCCACAGAATGTACAGAAAAAGATCATGTTCAGGCAAATAATAAGAAGATATAGACACATCGAAGGGTGAGAGAACGGAAGTGAAGCAATCAGATCCAAACTCACCGTCCATCTCAACGATGGGATTGGCGACCTTGATCTTCTCGAATCCCATTTTTCACTTGCTATCTGAGCGTAGGATCTAGCTGAAGAGGCGAAAGACGGAGACGTGAGGACAGTCTCCGCCGGCGGCTAGAGATGGAGGGAAGCAGAGAGAGAGAGGAAGGAGACGGTAGGTGGAGTATTGAAAAAAGCAACGAATATAGAGTGGGAAGAAAGTATTAAAAGGAGGCGCAGAGCAGGCAGAGCTCGGCAATTCGAGTTATATTTATCGTCCAATGTCCAATACACCCTTTCATATCTATCTATTTGCCTCTTTGCCACGAACATCCACACGGAATTTTATTATTATTATTATTTGTTCTATTTATTATTGGCAGTGCCGATGGAGATTTTTTCTTTTTTGGCTTTTTCCCCTCCAAATTCATGCATTTCCCGTTTGCCATCATTCTCGGGTGGAGCCTTTATATCAAAATTCCTGAAGACACCGTAATTTCAAAGTAAACGCGATTAGTGAGCCATCAATATGTCGCATGACCATTTCAACCTTTAGCCTTAGATTATTAAGCTCAATACTAGAAAGCATATTATTATTAATCATTATTAAATTATGCATTATTTGGTAAGAGGCAGGTGTAGGTGCAGTGTGTGATGGACGAATCTGTTAGTCTCAAAGGCCAGATTTAAAAAATATAATATTAAATACATAAGATGAGCATCAATAGTCAATTTACCGAAAAGATATTGTAGAATATTATTCGCAAGCCAAAATATGTAGCTATATACAGAGCCAACCAAGTGCACGTATTTACCAGACGTGGTCATTATAATGTAACCAATTTATAAGAATTTTTTTTTTACTATAATTTTTTTTACTTTTCAAATTTTTATTCGCATCTAATGCTGCTTTTAATCAACAGAAAAACCAAGTGTGGAAAATAAACGGTAAAAAAAATTATTGAACATGGTGATGATTTGTGTGAGATCAATATTTCAAGTTGAAGAAGGAACAACGTATGATTGTGTAGATGGGGAGTGGATGGGGATGCACAGGTCATTCACCAGTATATCATATTTTATCAAGGGGGTCGTTAAAAAAGTAAATGGCAAAACGTGAAAAGGAGAGGGAGTGAGGGGTGGAATGGGAAAGGGAAGGGGATATAATAAGTGAGGATGGTGGGACCTGGGTGAGGAATAGTCAGGCGATTCAACCAACCGCCTCCCTCATCACTCCCACCTTTTGTTTTTGATGGTTTTCATTTGCGGAATGCTAGATGCAAGCGCATGCCTGCCTTCCTCCCACCGCCAGGAAAGGCCGTTCTCCTCAACCCCCTTATTATGCCATTCTCCAACTCTTTTTAAAATTAAAAAAATTCCAAAAAATTATATTGTGTTCATATTTTATTTTGTTGTAAAAAGACCATTGTCCATGTGTTACAGTTATTACTCATTTATTTGTGTTTTCTTCTATTATTACCTATATTTTTCTAAAGATAATTATTTCTCACATTTCCTTGACTACATTTTCAAGTTTACAATATTCTAATAATATTAAAAAATTAAATTTTCACCTATGTATCATAGGATGTAAAATCTGTAAATAAATAGTGTTATTCATAAATTATAAGCAATGCGATTCAACTCATTATAAGATGCAACGTGGCCATGTATAGAGATATATATCATATTCGTGACGGCCAAAAAAATAAAATAAATAACCATACTCGAGTTAGGTAATAGAATACATATGATGTATCATCAGAACTAAATATGATGTACCATCATGTGCACATTACATTAGACGCGGACTTGATAGTGAAGTAATGATTATAAATCAGAACAATTTAATTTCATACCCAAATAAAAAAATAAATATTTTTTTTAAAAAAAAGAATGAAGATAGGTGTTGCCTAATGATACTTTACTGATAGAAATTCACAGAAGAACAATGGTAAGAAAATTGTCATTTTGAATGAACAATTGCGATTACATTGAATTTTGATTATTTGCGTCGAGAGTAAGGCTGAAAGAGAAGAAGAAAACATATAAAGGCGTTTGGCGAATCCAGTGCCTTTTCAGGTACAATTTGGCCAATCTAGTTGGACCAACAGGGAAGATCACCTGATCATTGGGCTGATCTATATTTAGGTTGGGTCCAATGAATAATCGTGTTGGCCCAAATGCACAGGATTTTGTGGACAAAAGAAAGTACTCCTCCACTAATTTAGATGACAGAGGATTTTTTTCCCTGTTAATACAATTTTAATTCCTTAAACTTTTTCTTATTTTAATTTTAGTCCCTCAAATTCAAATCGTAAGTTTTACTCCATTAAATTTTTTTTTATTATTGGTCCTTAAAAATAAACACCTGAAAACCTATAGTTTAAAACTTGAAAAATCAAAATCTAAATAATAACAAATACTATATTAACCCTTTTTTTGTCTCATTAAATTTATTATATAAATGTGCAATTCTACCCTGATTTATTTTCAGTACACTGTCGTTTTTTAAAAGAATACATGTGTTCAACTTTCAGATACAGCGTCACTGAAACTGCTACGGCTGATCATCGGTATAATCTTTGATGCAACATAGATTCTACAACAAGCCTCCTTGCCAGCGTTTATTGTTCATAGATCACCAGCAGATCTAAAAGTTCAGACCTCAGACAGAATCAAATCAAGGACAACAGCCATTCTTTTATTATTTTTTCTATCAAACTCGTAGCACTACACATAACATATACCGTCAACATCACATGTCGTCGGATGCACCTCAATGCAAGCAAATCTAAACGTTCGGGCGTCCTCACCTTTGTTTTTTTTTTCCCCCCCTCCAAAAATTTATTTTCCTACCAAACTTGCAGCAATACACTAAGTGAAATAGCATATACGGTCAAGATTGTATGTATATAGTTGGATACACCTTGATCCAAGCAGCTTGCTCAAAGATCCTCAGGGCCATTAATCTCCTGCAAACAGAAATTCAACCATTACGCCTGCTCAGAATAATAACCTTGTGGTTAAAAACAAGCACACATAGCACGCATTCTTTACTCATAAGGGAAGGGGGGGGGGAGCATATATTTAGTGAAAAACCTTATCTGCGAGTACAGCTCCGTCTGGTATTTCCAGCTTCACTCCCGGTTTTGCAATGACACTCACTTTACCCTGTGAAGCAGCACCAGAAAGACAAATGTCAGATGTAAGATTGTAAGATTTTTTTTTTCCTTTTAAAAGAATATTCCAAAACACTGATCGGAGATCATAATTTTATATTTTTGACAACATCTGAAACAATCCTGGGGTCATAGAAGAACCCAAACTTTCATTATAGCTTGTAGAATACTTATGAATACATAAGCAATGAGGTTTCTTGTATTCGCTGCTCAACTAATTAGAATACAAATTTGAACGTGGGAATTAGGACAGCTGCCATGCAACATCTCTTACCCAAAGCCCAACGGAAATCATATCAGAGGCTGAGACTTAAAAATTATTTAGGCATTCCAGCAGTAACAGACTAGTTTTCAAATGATTATTAACTTAGAATTTTTACATTAAGCAAAGAAAATCTTTAAGAAAAAAACTACTCAACATAGAAGGATTATACTTTATACCTTGAGGGTAACACCTGCTCCAAACCATACATCGCCAGCCACTTTAAGACTGTCAAGATTAACAATGCTAGGAATTGACTTGAACCGCCTCAAGAAGTCGCTAACCTGTCAAGGAAACTGGGAAAATGAATATCGTTGTAACCAACAAAGACAAATAAGTAGTAATGCTAATCTTCACCTTCTTAAATTCTGGCCCCAATTCAATTGAAGGGTTTGCTGGATTTGCCCTAGCTTTGTTCTGGATGACAAAGCCATCTTCCAAGGTGTAAAGATCTGACTGTAACACAGGACAACTACTAGCGTTAGACAAAAGCCTCAAATCAGCCTATAAGTTCCCATATATAGTATTACCTCCGGTCCTTAATATAGGACCTTTTTTTACTTTTAGTTTGGTCCTAAATATAAAACCTCAATCTACTTTGTCTCTCATATTTATACATTTTTCCTAAGATAGTCCTTCTAATAATAGTAGTTCTTACCAATACACTTGATTAATAAGGATATTTTAGAAAAGACAACACATATTTATTACAAATAACTAACTTATTTTCTTAATTTTCTCAAATTAGTCAACTAGCTCTTATAATTAGGACCGGAGGTGATATCATAATACAGAAAGATTTATCACCTGGACAAGAAGCAAATCTGAAGTTGCCTTCACTGGAAGGAATCGAGATCGAGGCACATTTATCCCAATAGCCCTGTCAAAGAACTGATAAAAAGACATGAAAATATGAGCACCAGAAATGTCTCAACATTAACTGTTTAACAGCATGGTAGCAACATGAATTACCCTTATTGCTGCACCAGCTGCAGTTTCCAACTGAAGAACTTTCACTCCATCAACTTCCTAAAGCCCAAATAAGTTTATCAGCAATTTTCAACCTGAATGTCGTGTCCAAACACAAATGTCTAACCAATATAGGGAACAACCCCCCCCCAAAAAAAACCAAAAAAAAAAACCGCCCACCCCAAAAAAGGGGTAAAATTGTAAAAAACCATAAGAAAATTAAGCTTAAGCTATTTCTTGCAAAAGATCAATTTTCACCTTGGGATTGGGAATAATTTCCATCTTAAGAGCTTCAGCTTTAACAAGCCTCTTAATTGCTTTTAAGTTCACCCACCTGCAGATCATATGCTTTGTAAGTACTACCCCACGGGAGTATCAATTCTATAACAATCAGAGCAACAGCTAAGAGCCTAGAAGTTAGGATAACTTACAAGTTATTTGTGTTGAAAATTTTGAATTTCTCTATTGACTTGAATTCATTGACCTGCACAAGTAGAAACATCATAGGTTAATGGCATAAGCAGGGAAATTATTCTCCATCATACTTGCCATCTATCAACAATCATGTCCCACCTAATGAAAAGGACAAGAGAAGCTTGGATGATAATTCTCTTTCCTAACAAAATTTAATTGAGAGATGACAGCTTTCCATTCAACTATGTATCTACTAAACAACAATCCATTACAGTCTATAATAAAAATTACATTACAAACGAGCTCTTATATTTAGGACCAGAAGTAGTATGTCTTATGGTGCAATCAATAATCTTAAGTGAAATTTATTATAAACTGTAATGGATTGCTTTTTAATAGATACATAGTTACACTACAAACTAATTCTTATATTTAGGATCGGAGGCAGTAATTATTTAAAATCAATCATGTCAATGACATAACACATTGATGTGAAAAAGGCAATAAGTTTACCATATTCTGTAATCTTCATAGCTTTATTATTTTTAACCAAATACTACATAATTTTACAATTGCCCACACTAGTGTGAGGGGGAGGGGGACAGCAGGATATCCTCGAAAGATAAGACAGGCTATGAGTGCATCAGTGCAGAGATAGGGGCCCCCATGGCTTCAGTAGCAGGAGCACTGATCCTACGGGGACTTGGTCTACCACTTCTCCTCCTCCTCCTCCTCAACTTAGTTTCTAGGACTTCATTGTATTGCCCAAAAAAGAAGAAAAGATACAGGCATAGTAGCTTACGTGCTCATTTGGGACTTGTGCGATTTCCAAGAGCTGCATCACAAAATGAGAGATAAAATATCATTTGATGCTGATGTATTGGATCTTTATCAATCTCACTTTTCATATATTTTCTTTCAAGGGACACAAGCCAAAGAAAGGGCAGCAGGATAGGTCAGATTCTGGATGAATAATAAACACATGGAAGTTGATAAAAGGAGGTTTTGGTGAAAATTTCCGATACTCAGTTCTGAGAGTTATTGAAACAAATCTACGTCAGGAAGAAATGAATCAGTGACGGATACATGCCTGAACCCTTCCTTCGTAAGAGATCAAAGTGCCACCCTTCACATCAGCCAATGTTTTTGGAGTGACCTGTGTAACATAAAATTATGTAGAAATGATGCTAAGTCCGATGATGAGAAGAAGTTATTTCACATTGACAATCTCTCTTTACCTCCATACAGTATTCATTCTTGTTCTGGATCAAATGATTTAAGATTTCTAAATGAACTAGTTAAGGATACTGATGGCGCTAAAGATGCTTTTCATGGGTAATTAATGAGATATATGACCAAAATAAAGACTTATGTAAGGATACTCAAGTCAACTATGGCACCCAAGTTATCAGAATTGGCAACGAACACATACTCCTTACCCTGTAAAACAACAAAGAAAAGAAATAAAACACACAAACAATAAGACCATGACAATAATTACTAACAAAAACAACAAAGTCCCGCAGCAAATAGGTTGATTTCTAGTGTCAACCTCTGATAAAAGAGCATCAAGTTTGCCACTGTTTGATAGTGATGCGAAGACATCCCCGTGGCCAGGAGGGTACCTATGAATCAATGAATTATTCATAAGTCAAACTTGAAAGTCTATTAACGTTGACATGCTCAAGCTTTTAGTCTTGGAATTGTGCCCCACTGGAAAATCTAAACCAAAGTCTAGATCAATACCATTAAAAAGAAGGACAAAGAGAGATAGATAGCTTAGGTGTACAAAATGATACTGGAGAGTGAATTACATTATATAATTGCAATTGATCCAAATTGTTACATGAACACATATTACCTTTAATAAATGTATTTAAACTGAGAATAGTGACTAATTAAGCACTCAATATTCAATATTAGGTCTAACGTTAGAAACCACTGCATCAATATTGTTGCTCTCTTTATCAAATTAATTCCCATGGTTCTTGTGAATAACCAAAAAGGTAGCCACATGCAGAACACTTCAACCATTCATGAAGATAAAAAACCAAAAAAATCTTGTGATAACACTCATTTCCAAGGAAGAATATGAATGAAAATGTTTTGACATTAAACAAACACGATTCTCAGATCCATAAATTGGCCAAGTGGTTTGATAAGATGTATCAACAGAATCACCATTAAAAAAATTTGCACAACCATAATGATTTAGGGATGCACAAATTCCGAGCGTCACATAAGATAAATCCCATTCACTAGCATTATTTCACAGAGTGCTTCGGACTTAAATTATCCACCTGTTATTTTCAATTGAGGCTAATTCAACTCAGATATACTTCTAGCAACACAAATCAAAACACCGGAATAATATAAAAGAAACAGAATGCACAAATGAGGTCATACCACCCATCTCTGCCTGTTTTCCCTTTGGATGGCAATGGCAAAAAATCATCAATAACCAATCGGGGATATTGGCTCTGCAAAAATTTGAGGAATGAGAAAGCTAAGTCCACACAATAAATTAAACCTAGGTCCCGAGAATCCAGGAAATATTACAGCAAAAGGCCAGCGAGTGTCAGAACAAACCTGGTTAAAAGTATGGATTTCAATGTTCGAGTTTTTATATTTTTCAACAATCTACAAAAAGAAAACGTGGTCAGTTTACATAATTCTGTTCAGAATTCTACACAAACAAGAGGGTTAGAGGTGAGGACCAAGCACCTTGAGAGTGTCATCATGAGTATTGAAAGAGTTCATCAGAAGCAGAGGAACGCTGCTTCCGTACTTGTTATTGAGGTTCTATAATGATAAGAGTCATCAGAGGAAAGGACGCTTGATGAAGAAAACAAGGGAACAAAAAATTTCTTGCAAGGAAGGACTAAAAACTAACCTCAATTTGGATGACAATCAAATCAAGAAATGTCAACCCATCACGAACTTCAATGACAGATCTGCAATTATAGGCCATCATAAATGGTGACATCAGGGGGAAAAAACAACCAAACTAATTTACATTGAAGTAAACTTCCTCACTAAATCCGAGCCACAAGACTAAACGTTACATCCCCATCGTTTCTAATGATCATTATGCGGACAGAAATTTACGATGATTTTGTAAATGGAGACATACCGTTTCTCTGAAAATTTCCACGCTCACTCTATTTAGTATTATAGGGCTGCAGGCTATAAGTTTAAGTATTATCGGAAAGAACTGAATATTTCTGTATATTATTCCACTGATTGCTATATTACATAAATAGGGATCAGATTTCTTACAGAGGGCATGAAATCTGATCATATTAAATGGAAATAATAATGGGTAATAATGGGTAATCAATCTATAGTTAATACCCATGATTCTAGGTCTACAAATAAGGAAAGAGCATATAATTAGTGATAAGATTCTAACAGCTAGGAAATCTGTTGCGATCAATTCTTCGATTCTAACACTCCCCCTCAAGCTGGAGAGTAAATGTCTAGCATCCCCAGCTTGCTTCGAAGATTTTCAAACTGGACTCTAGCTAGGGGTTTTGTCATTATATCAGCAATTTGGCTTGATGACTTGATGTAAGACAAATTTATGATGCCCTCTTCTACTTTCTCTTTAATGAAGTGTCTGTCAATTTCCACATGTTTGGTTCTATCATGATAGACAGGATTCTTAGTCATTTCTATACTCACCTTGTTGTCACACCATAAGTGTAATGGTCCTTCATAGGTGATTTTCAGTTCCTTTAAGAGTCTAGTGATCCATATCCCTTCACATACACCAAGGGCTACAGCTCTCAACTCTAACTCGGCACTGCTTCTTGACACCACATGTTGTTTCTTGCTTCTCCATGTTACCAAGTTTCCCCACACATAGGTACAATATCCTGTAGTGGACCTCCTGTTCTCTAGGGATCTTCCATGGTCAGCACTCAGCATCTGTGTAAACTTCTATGTTTCTCTTCGTGTTCTTTTCAAAGAAGATACCCTTTCCTGGATTGAGTTTTAGGTAGCTTAGAATTCTGAGAACTGCATCCATGTGTTCTTCTTGGGGTTGGTGCATGAATTGACTAACTACTCCTACTGCATGACTTATGTCCGGACGTGTATGGGTCAAGTAGATTAGTTTCCCTACTAGTCTCCTGTATTTCTCAGAGTCAACTGGAGTAGCATTTAACTTGACTTCTAAATTGCACAAGGTTTCCATCGGGGTGTCGCTTGGTGCAGCTCCAAGCATTCCTGTTTCATAGAGAAGGTCCAGTGTATATTTCCGTTGGGATACATTAATTCCTTTCTTAGTTCTAGCCACTTCCATGCCTAGGAAGTATCTCATTTGCCCAAGGTCTTTTACTTGGAATTCATTTGCAAGAGCCTTCTTTAGGGATCCTATTGACTCTTCATCGTTCCCTGTGATCACAATGTCATCCATGTAGACAATAAGGATGGTGACCCCTTTATTTCTGTGTCTTACAAATAGGGTGTGATCAGCTTGGCCTTGTGAGTATCCAATCCTTCTCAACGCCTTTGCAAATCTGTCAAACCAAGCCCTTGGGGATTGTTTTAGCCCATATAGAGTTTTTCTGAGTTTGCACACTTTAGTGGCATTTTCAAGTCTTTGTACCCCTTCTGGTATCTCCATAAACACTTCCTCCTCCAAGTCTCCATTTAGGAAGGCATTCTTCACGTCTAGTTGATGTAGAGGCCAGTCCAGATTGGCAGCCACCGAGAGTAGGATTTTGATAGAGTTGAATTTGGCTACTGGAGCAAAGGTTTCTTGATAGTCTATTCCATAGGTCTGGGTGTACCCTTTTGCTACTAGCCTGGCCTTATATTTGTTTAGGCTTCCGTCAGGGTTGTACTTTGGAGTGAACACCCACTTGCATCCCACTACCTTCTTTCCTGGTGGTAATGTGGTGATATCCCACGTCCGGTTTTCATTAAGGGCTCTCAGTTCTTCTTCCACAGCTTTTCTCCATCCCTGGCTAGCCATAGCTTGCTGGAAAGTTTCTGGTATCTTTACTTGCGCACTGTTAGCAATAAAGTTTTGCATTCTGGTTGACAAATTACCATAAGAAACAAACCTTTGGATGGGATGTTGGGTGCAGGATCTGACTCCCTTTCTTAGGCCGATTGGCCATCCCATTTCTTCAAGATCTAACCTTGGATTGGAGTCATGGTCATGCCTTGTAGTGGGAGTGTTTTCTTCTAATTCTCCATTAGAGTAATTGCTGTTATTTAATTCTTGATTCTCAAGAGTATGTTCATCTTCGTTATGGTTGTGGTTTGAGTTTTGTGAAGTTTCATTACTGTCTTGAGATGCTTCTACTATATCAAATATTGTTTCAATTCTGTTTGGTATTTCCAGTGTTGTTTCAAGTCTGGTTGTCGGTATTTCAGGTCTGTTTGTTGTCTCTTCAGGTCTGTTTGGTGTCACTGGTATTGTTTCAGGCCTGTTTGGTGTCTCTTCAGGTCTGTTGGGTGTAGCTGATATTGTTTCAGGTCTGTTTGGTGTCTCTTCAGGTCTGTTGGGTGTCGCTGGTTCTTGGATTAGCCATTCTGCAGCTCCATAGTTCTCCTGAATGGGTAATTTAGGGTAATAAGCATCATCTTCATAAAACACAACATTCTTTGTGATGTGGACCGTTTTGGTAGAGGGAGAGTAGCATTTATATCCCTTTTGGGTTGGAGAGTAGCCTAGGAAAATGCATTTTTCGACCCTAGAGTTGAGTTTGCCTTCATTTCTGTACACAAACACAACACACCCAAAAATTTTAGGAGGTAACTGATTTATTAGAGGAGAATTTGGGTGATGTTCAAGTAATTTTTGTACTGGTGTTTTAAAGTCTATGACTTTAGAGGGTACTATATTTATGAGATAAGCTGATGTTAATACTGCATCTCCCCAAAACAGATTGGGGACATTTTTTCCTAACATAATAGCACGAGTTACCTCTAAGATATGCCTATTTTTTCTTTCAGCCACTCCATTTTGCTGTGGGGTATAAACACATGAAGTTTGGTGATGTATTTCTTGTTGTTCGAGAAACTCTTTGAAGGCCTTGCTTAAATATTCTTTTGCATTATCACTTCTAAGAACTTTGATTGTGGTCTGAAATTGATTTTTCACAAACATAAAAAAAATTTTGAATGTTTCAAAAACCTCAGATTTTTCCTTTAATAAAATGATCCAAGTCATTCGTGTGTGATCGTCAATAAAAGTAACAAACCAGCGAGCATTAGAGAGGGTCCTTGTCTTAGCTGGACCCCATATGTCACTATGAATAAGTGTGAAGGGGGCAGTGGGTCTGTATGGTTCTTTTGAGTAGGTGGTTCTAGTTTGCTTGGCAAATTGACAAGTATCACAGGTAAGAGAAATAGAGCTTTTTTTATTAAAGAGATGTGGAAACAAGTGCTTCATATAATCAAAGCTAGGGTGGCCTAACCTATGATGCCACAGTAAAATATCTCTATTTTGTGTGTTGTGGCTAATCATAGCTTGGTGTGTTTCCTTATTGTTCTTGTGGAAGTAGTAAAGTCCATCCCACTCTTTAGCCTTGCCAATCATCCTCTCCGAGGCTAAATCCTGAAAAATACAGCCACTGTCATCAAATAGGACATGACAAATCTGACCTTTGGTCAGTTTGCTTACAGAAATGAGATTGCAAGTGAGCTCTGGCACATATAACACATTATGTATGGTCAAGTAGTCAGTTAATTCAACAGTTCCTAATCCACACACTTTAGCACTAATTCCATTTGCTACTTTTACTTTCAAGTTTTCATGACAGAGTTTAATATTGCTAAATAGAGATTTGTTACCAGTCATGTGATCTGAGGCCCCAGAATCAACAATCCATACATCATCACTAGTCACCATAGCATTTAGGGCAATTATAGAGTTACATGATTTTACTAGGTTAACATTTGGAGTACTGGTCTGTTTCCCGAATTCGCCTCAATAGCTGAACCTCTTCTGGACTTAATTTCTCTTCCTCTTCCTCCTTCTTCTCTGTATGGTAGCTTTTTCTTTCATTTCTTTGTCTGTTGTTCAGATTGGAAGGTTTCCCATGCAGCTTCCAGCAAATCTCCTTGGTGTGACCTCTTTTGTTGCAGTGTTCACACCATTTGTCACTTTTTCGTTTCTGGTCTGTGGTGTTTCCACTTTTGACAGCCATTGCAGAAGCTTCATTTTGGGTCACTGGAGTTTGAGTGAGTTGTTTTCTGCTTTCCTCACATTTCACCATATTAAAGGCTTCGAAAAGTGAGGGTATGGGCTTAAGACCCATGATTCTACCCCTTACTTCTTCAAATGTGTCATTGAGTCCTAACAAGAACTCATAGGTTCTCTCTGTTTCAACTAGCTTTCTGTAATACTGAGTATCATCTAAACATTTCCATGAGTGAACTTCAAACAAATCTAATTGTTGCCATATTCTCATAAGAGAGCTATAGTATTGGGTTACCGTTAAAGTACCTTGCCTGAGTTCTCTAAGTTGTTTCTTTAGTTGAAACAGTGCTGCAGTGTTGTCCATAGAAGAATAGGTTCGTTTGGCTGCATTCCATATTTCCTGGGCTGTCTGCGCTAATAGGTAGCCTTCACTGATTTCCAGTGTCATGGAATTGCACAGCCAGGTCATCACTTGATTGTTCTTGGCGAACCAAGTATCAAATTTTGGATCATCCGAGGCTAGTTGTGGTGCCTGACCATTGATATACTTCTCTCTGCGTCTTCCGCGGAGGTACATCAGGACGCTTTGTGACCACTGGAGGTAGTTACTTCCGTTGAGCTTGTGCGCTATCACAGTTTGTTGATTCTCATTTGCAGCGGTGAGTTCTGGGGCCATGGTTGCTCCCTGGAGGGTCGTGTTCGTCTCAGAGGACGATGGGTTGGAGTGAGTCGATGTCGACTCACTGATTGGAGATGATCCGGCCATTAGGGCGATCGAATTTGGCCCTTTCTGTGCCTGGTTCGGGCGTTGTAGAAGTGGTGCGGATTAGTTTCTTATTTTTATCATTTAATGAGCATCTTGTATTTCATAAAAATTGGGAGTGATATAATCTTTACGCAAGGGCCATCCTATCCAACTGGTCGACGTCCAAAGAGGAGTGCTGGGAACTCATCACTGTTCATTTTCTCTTTCCGAAAGCTCTGATACCATATCGGAAAGAACTAAATATTTCTGTGTATTATTCCACTGATTGCTATATTACATAAATAGGGATCAGATTTCTTACTGAGAGCATGAAATCTGATCATATTAAATGGAAATAATAATGGGTAATCAATCTATAGTTAATACCCATGATTCTAGGTCTACAAATAAGGAAAGAGCATATAATTAGTGATAAGATTCTAACGGCTAGGAAATCTGTTGCAATCAATTCTTCGATTCTAACAAGTATCGAGGACATGTAAAAAAGCCTTGCATTCTTTTCAAGCTAGAAAAAGAGAGATTATTAATCACACAGCTAATCTTGATTTTGACTTAAGCTTCTGGCCGTCCAAACTATACAAGAAGAATGAAAGGTGTGTGTGTGTGTGTGTGTGTGTTATTCAAACTATGTTTACTTGGGACCAGTGCAGCCCATAGTTGTGCCCAAGCCTCCATTAAGCTTCAGTACCACAAGCTTGTCCAAGAGATTCTTAATGTCAGATGAACCTGCATCGATTTTGATTTCTATAAACGATAATATCAATTTAAGATGTATCAAATTCACAAAAGCAAACAGAGAAAGATGGTTACCATCAGGAGGCGGTGTCAAACTGTCGTAAGGTACAACTACTTCATCAGTTGGCGTCTGGATCTTACTCCATTCAACATGCTGCGCTTCGCCACTTTAGTGCATTGAAAAAAAAGAAGAAGAAGAATAATGAAGGAAAAAAAGGTATCATCAACAAAATTCGAAATCAAAATATATTTGCTCGGTGGCAGACTAGAAACATCTAGAGATCAACGAATTGCAGGCACAGATACTAAGGTTCCTGACAAGAGATTCACCTGAGATAGCGAGCCACGAGGTTGATGAATCCATTTTTCTCATTCTCACTGCAACAGACGTCACAATTCAACAATCGATATAAAGAAAATCCCTGCGATCCGAGATCGCAAGCTTTACACGCATAATTTTCTGACAACGAAAATGATCCAAGTAACAATAACAAGAGATGATCGAAGCGATGTGCAAAAAGAAGAAGAAGAAGAATGAAATAATTGAAGTCAAGAAACGTGAGACCTGATTTGACTCAATCCAGCAACAGCTGATTTGAGCTTGGAGAGCTTCTCCGTATCGGCAGGGCTGAGAGCGGCAGTGGCCATTGCTGTAGAAGCTTCGAAGGGAAAAGATGCAAGGCTACGTGTGGAGATGAGAGAGTAAGGATAGCGAGTGTTCGAAGGGAGGGTACAGAAGAAGCGAAAGAGAGGGGTGTGGTGGCGCTCGCAGATATCGACAACTAAACAAGACGTTTGGCGGTTTTGATTTCTTGGACACGGGAATATGCAGCCGAATATAATAGGCGCTAAAATGGCGCCTGTTTCACGCCAATGTAAGAACTCAAAACTTCGATGCCCGGCCCATGGTTTTTACCTCGTCCCCTGATTGGGCCCTATTTTTCTTACGTCGGGCTTGGTCTTAGGCGTCTGTTGCTCATCTCATATTTCAATTTCAATATAAATAGTAAATATTCGCCTCGCATTCAATAAAAAATTCTCATTTTACCAACTGATATTAAGTCTAATAGAAAGAACTAATCCCTCATAATATGATAAACTAAAATTCAAATTTCTATTAGGAGAGGTGCTTACATTTAATACCTGACAGTGTCTTGAATAGGATTTGCCTTCCATGAATAGCCAAAAAAAAAATTCTCATTTTGAATTTTATTTTCTAATTTATTAAAATCATAATCCCCATAAATATTTTATTTTCTGCTCATTGATCTTGTTATATTTTCATAATGTAGGTTCTTGAAAGTGTAAAATTCATAATATATGTATTGAAAAAATAAAAATCATGACCCTTCATTGACATGGAAATTTCCCTGTCGAAGATTAAGTGCGCGCATGTAATTAATATATATATATATATATATTTATATAGGGAAGTAATCCTTTTATTTTCACCTATTATATTCATTTTTGTAACATAATATTAATTATGAATATTTTGAGGAATTTTAATTACTAATTTTGCTATATAAAGTTTATTTTCTAAATAGTTGTAATATTTAGTAATATCTTATAGATCTGACGGCGCTATTTATCTGTTGGTAAGTATAAAGTAATACCTTGTCTATTTCTTATAACAATGAGTTATTTGTTGATTAATAATTCTTAGAAGAATTTATTTGAAATTTGTGTAACTAATAAGCATACTTAAATTGGAATTGTATTAAAAGGTAGACAATATATGGCCAAGACGTGCATGTTTCCCAAGTTGGAGAGTTAGCAGTATTATTCATGACTTATGAATAATATAATTTATTGTAAATTTTATTATATATAATACACTTCCCATGTGTTATGTAAATTTGGTGCGGTGAGCCACAAAATTTCTTGCAGCATTTGATCTTTAATATAAAAATTAATTAATTAATTTGAGTATATTAAGAAAATCAATTAAATTGGTTATTTATAATACATAAGTATAATTTTTCCTAAAATACTTTTGCTAATCATGTGTGTTAATAAAAGTATTTTAACACGTGTAACTACTATATCAACATCTATAAATAAGTAGTAATATTAAAATAATAAAGTTTTTTTTTATTATATTAATGTATATATCAACGTTTTGCTATCATCAGACGTCAGTTTAGATCTATAATTGAGTTGATGATGAGAGGAATGGGGTCCCGATCGAAATTATAAGAAAGAAATCACTGTCAAGTCACGGGATTAAAATAACTCGCCGGATTATATGATGAGGGGGGCATAAAGCGTCAAGCCGGGGACCATAGCATCTGGGTTGAGAACCTCGTGAAGTTATCCAAAACGGTGATTCAATGGGCCTGGTTGGCTTCCACTTTGTTCTATCCAAATCGTGTCAAAGTCATTTTTGGTTATCCTAAATTCCCAATTTATTCAATTTGATGATAAGATTTTAATCTGCACTATTTTTCATATTTGTTTATTTATTTTAAAATAGTTCATATAACAGTTACATATATTAAAAATTTTATTAAATGATAATTCTAACTAATATACATAATTAACAAAGATATTTTAGAAAAGGTAATATTTATTTATTATAAACAATTAATTTAATTATTTTTTTAATTTACTTAGATTAATCAGCTAACTCGTATAATAGTATGTGAGGCGTTGTATATATGTACACGTATATATTTGAAGAACTGGACAAAATAATACTATATTCAGTCCTTAATATAAGACATTGTTTGACTTTTATTTTGATTTTAAATATAAGACTCAAATCTACTCTGTCTATTATATTATGCATTTTTTCAAGATAATATTTCTAATAATAGTAGTTTTAGCTAATATATTCGATTAGCAAATATATTTTAATAAAGATAATATTTATTTATTATAAATAACTAATTTAATTTATTTTTTTAATCTATTTAAATTATTTAATTAATTTTTATATTTAAAACAGGTAGTAATAAGAAAAAGGAGGTGGATGGGAAATGAGAGCGAAGGAAGTGCTGGAAAGTGGAGGACTTTCCTAGATTTTGAAAATTTCGGTGATGATGATATGAAGAATGTGTTGTGGAATTTTTATTGGCTGCATCTCTTTTCATTGTACTGACATTATCGTTCAATTTTTTTTCCGGCTGTTTAAGAATTGTTTAAATTAATTCGGGCCAAAAAATTAATTGTTTAGATTAACATTGGGGAAAAAATACCCAAAAAAGGTTAACTTTTGACAAAATTAACTTTTATTCCTATTTACTTTCATCAATTAAAATTAGAATAAGAGTTAATTAACGTAAAGTGATTGACAAAAAAATTTTATTCAAAAAGGTTTGAAAAAACTTATTAAATAATATATTTAAAAAAGATTTAAATTAATCAAATAAAAAAACAGAAACAGTTTTTTGCAAATCAGCCTAAAAATTAAAATTTGTCAAAATTTAAAAAATAATTCTGATTTAAAACTTAGTAATTTTCTTTTTTTTTTTTTTCTCTCCGTGGGATTTTCCTTCATAAGTTCGTACCAAGAGGCTCCTAAAAGGCGGTGGAGAGCCAATACTTTCCGCGAATCCTCGTGCTTTGCTTTCGCTGGTTTATGACCATAGCTGCCCCCGAGGTCAAACCTAAGAAAAATAAATATTATACTATCTCCTATTTTTAATATAAAAATTAATTTAATTTTTAATTTAATTTAAATATGAAATTTAATTATTTTGTATCTTTTATTTATTTATTTTTGTTAAAATAGTCCTTATAGTCACACATATTAAATATTCACTAAATAGTAATTCTAACTAATACATATGATTAGTAAGGATATTTTAAGAAAGACAACACATATTTATTAAAAATAATTACTTAACAAACTTTCTTAATCTACTAAAATTAGTCAATTAGTTTTTATATTAAGAATAAAAAATAATACTCAAGTCTTTTTATATAAAAAAATTACTACATTCGATTCTTAATATGAGAGCTAGTTGACTAATTTGGATAGATTAAGTAAGTTTGTTAAATTAGTTATTTGTAATAAATAAATGTTGCCTTTTCTAGAATATCCTTTGCTAATCATGTATATTAATTATAACTATCATTTGATAAAAATTTTAATATGTACAACTACTATAAGAAATACTTTGAAAAATAAAAAATATGAGTGACAAACTGGATTATAATCTTATATTTACGATCAAATTAAAAGTCAAACTAACTCTTATATTAAAGATACGGGGTAATATATACTCAAATCAATGTTAAGACAAACTGTTACTACTCTCATTTTCATTATACTTCAGTTATATATCATGTTAAATACTACTCCTTCTGTCTTTTTTATAAGTAACCTTGAACTCCATTATATGGATCAAAAAATTAGTTAAAGACAATAAATAAGTAAAAATTAGAATTTTTCTTCCAAATACCCTTATTTTCGGGGGAAAAAGAATATAAGAAAAGATAAAAAAATTATTATAATAAAGATAATTATGAAAGAGATAGTATGTATAAGAAAAAGATAATTACTCTATTAATTCATTCTGCACATTAACATCAATTGTGTGGAGGTAAACCATGCAGGGCTCGTTTGGATTGCCGTTTGGAATGCCAAAAGCACATGAGAAAGTATGAAATTAAGGTTTGTGGCTTCTTGCAGCTCAGAAGATTATTTGGATTGAACTTCGTTTCTAACTGACTTATGAAAAAAAAGTAACTTTTCTAACTAACTTATCCAACGCAATCTGGATCAACTTTTCTAACTGACTTATGAAAAAATTGTGCAAAACTTACTATCTAATTAGTTATGTGATTCTATTTACTTTAATTAGAGACCAAATAATTTTTAATTTATATTCATGTTTGTTCGTTATGTATATTTAATTAATTATCTACAATATATTTTCAATTTTTTCTCCGTAACAAATATTTTTATTTTATAATTTTACAAATAAACTATTTACATTTTATCATAATAATTTTACGTGTTTCTTTAAATTATTATCACATTAAAAACATAAAATTTCAAACACTACTCTATATACTTTTCAATCATTTTACAACTAAACTAACTTTTCTATTAATCATCCAAACAACTTTTAACTTTTTCAACTGACTTTTTAAAAGCATCTATCCAAATATAAATTGCATTAGGGATAATTAATCCGCAAGTCATTATAGTTTCAACGAATTTTGAATTAGGTCCTTATAGTTTTTTTTCTTTTTATCAGATCCTTATACTTTCACTTGTTTTTAATTAGGTCATTGTATTTATTTTTCTTTTTATCAAATCCTTATAAGTTTATTTTATTTTTAATTAAGTCCCTGAATTTTTTATTCTTTATTTTATGAATTCTAATAGTATTATTATATAAACATAAAATAGTATATATTATTTAATATTAGTTTATAAACAATAATATTCTAAAGATATTGAATTATTATAATGATTTTAAATTTTTAGCAAAAAAATTAATTGTTCTAAAAATTTTCCTGAATTAATTAATTCTATTATTTTTATTACATAATTATTAATTTAATTTACTTATTAATATTTTATATTTCATTATTAATCTATTTAATTAAGCTTATATTTAATTAATAAATAAAAATTAAAACTACATAGACCTGATTAAAAATTTAATGAAATTATAATGACTTAATTAAAAGAAAAATAAATACAAGGACCTAATTAAAAAAAGGTAAAAGTATAAGGATCTAATAAAAAGAAAAAAAACTATAGGGACCTGATTCAAAATTGGTTGAAACTATAAGGACTTACGGATTAATTAACCCATTGCATTATACTAACTGAC